AAGTTTCAAACCTCATAAACAATCCCCTAAGCGTTTTGCTCCTAATGTACTTCCCTAAATAAAGAAAGAAATAGAGCGATTATTTAAAGCAGGCTTTATTAGAACGGCCAGATACGTTGATTGGTTGTCCAATATCGTGCCGGTACTAAAAAGGAGTGGTAAGTTTAGGGTGTGCATAGACTTTAGAAACCAAAACCTGACCACACCAAAGATGAATATCCAATGCCTACAGTAGATTTTCTAGTAGATTCAACTGTCGGGCACGTAATATATTCCTTCATGGATGAGTATTTAGGATATAATCAAATTTATATAGTTGAGAAAAATATACATAAAACTGCCTTTAGATGCCATGGATCTTTAGAATGTTTTGAATGTATAGTTATGCCTTTTGGCCTGAAAAATGTAGGAGCGACGTATCAAAGGGAAATGAACTTGATTTTTCACGATATGAAAGGCAAGTTTGTTGAGGTATATGTAGATGATATAGTGGTCAAATCTATTAAAGAAGAAGACCATTTTGAATAGTTGAGATGTTCATTTGAGCGAATGAGGCAATATAAACTAAAACTGAAGCTCTTGACGTGTGCATTTGGTGTTAACGTAAGAAATTTCCTTTGTTTCCTAGTGCACAAAAGGGGAATTGAACTCGACAAAAATAAAGCGAAGGTCATTTTAGAGGTCAAACCTCCTAACAATAAAAATGAATTACAAATGTTTCTAGACCAAGTAAACTTTTTAAGACACTTTATTTATAAATATGTAGGGCGAACTAAAACTTTTTCGCCGCTTATAAAGTTAAAAAATAAGAGGAATTCGTCTGGAAAGAAGAGCATAAAAAAGCTTTTGATAGTCTAAAGACATATTTATCAAGTCCACCAGTGCTGGAGTCACAAATCCAAGGAGGGCCAATGAAAGTATATATATCGGCTGAACAAGAATCAATATTTGTAATAATTGCGCATGAAGACCAATTTGAAAAAGAAAGTGTTATTTACTACTTGAGTTGACGGTTAACAAAATGTGAATGTAATTACTTTGCCCTTAAAAAATTATGTCTTGCATTGTATTTCACATGTACAAAATTAAGGGCTTATTTATGGCCTGTAACCGTTTATTTGATTTCTAAAGTAAATCTGATTAAATATATGTTCTCTCACCCTATTTTATATCAAATGATTGTTTTTTGGACTTTAGTGTTATCAGGGTTAGAGATACAATACATACCCCAAAAGGTAATAAAAAATCAGGCTTTTGCTAACTTTCGGCCGATCATCCATGCCTTGACATGCCTGAGGAAATTGAATTAGAAATTAATTCATTTGAATGAAAACCTTGAGTTTTATACTTTGATGGGTCAAAAACCTCTAAAGGCACAGGAGTAGGAGTGACATTGATCAATTCTTTGAAGATTTGTTACAAGTTCGCATTCACTTTGAATAGAATATGCACCAATAATCAAGCTG